GCCCCCCTGGCCCCGGCGGCGGGCTGCGATGGGGGCACACCTTCCAGGCGGAGAGGTTAGCGGGACAGCCCCCGCGGGCCCGGGACGCCCACGGCGAGGATGAATTGTGCCCTGGGAAACAATGGCAGGAGCCCCTGGCGCGGGGCCGTGCCGGCAGGGCAGGGGTCAGGCAGGGCGGGCTGACGGGGAGAGAGGGGCGGCCTCGGGGGGATCGCCCGTCGGGGCAGATCGCCGCCCGAGGGCTTCGGCGTCGTAGGGCTGCGTGAGGGTTGGTCGCGTCCTCACTCTCCTAAAACGTTTTTCTTGTTTTTGACCATCACTCCGTCAGGTTTGCACTTTCGGGAACTGCCAGTGCAGATTGGGCCATTATTTTTGTATTTGATGCACACTTAACTCCGCTTGTAAAAGCTTCGAATCAATTTTTGGAAATAATGGCGATGTTTAAGGGGGTTCTGAAAAAGAATCGTGTTTCTTTTGTAAGCTGGGTAAGTGGAATTATGTAAAAACAATCCATAAGGGGCCTTTAAATAAACGTACTACACAAAAAAAGATTTCTTTAGAACTTAACTTTTTGCCGTGGACTAAACTTGTGCAATAGTCACTTGCTTTTTTCTCTTCACAGTCAGATACGAGAGAACTTTTATGGAGTTTCGTATTTGTTGCTTCCTTCTCTAGCTCTGTGAGATGCCCCAGTTGCATGTAAACTGGGAATATGCATTTAAAACACCTCCAACAATCAGCAGAAACATTCAGGGCTAGTGTGAACTATCTCTGAATTCTTATCTTTTTTTTTATTATTTCAGACTTACGCTTGCACCAGGGAAATCTAGGCAAATACTGCGTGACTGTCGGTACCTGCCGTTGTGGTTAAGCGTATAGTCCTGTGACTATCTGATGTGAATAGTTTCACAAGGACCTAGTCTGTTTAGACTATAAAATTCTAGTTTACTTTCTCCTCTCTTATTTTACAAGCTAGGAGCTGGATATACAGTAGGAGAGTAACTATTGTTGTGTTCCAATTGAACCTGCATTTCTGGTTATTTTCCCTATTTATGCTGACATAGTTTTAAGGGGAAGACCTACTCTGCTGAATTTTGTAATGAGATGTCAAGACTTTTGAGAAATTGCAAAGGAAATGAAAACATGTGGTGGTTCGCTTGCAGCACAGCTGGTGCTTTGTTTTTTTTAAACTGTTAGTGTTGTTAATTCATTGTACTTACTTCTTTTCTGTCTGCAAAGCTAAGGAAATCCTAGTATTTTATCAATGGAGAAGCCTAGGAACTGGGATCTAAAATGGAGACTGAAAAATGCTATGGGAAAGGTTTACTCTAAAGTATACATTTAAGAACAGAGTACAGCAATAAAATATTACTCTATATTAATAGCCTTGTTAACATCGATGAACTATAAACCCAAACAGAAGCTTGAATGTGAGGAAAAGGTTCACATCTCTCAGAAAAGCCATCTATTTTTAGTGTCTATTGAAATTGATTTTTTTTTTTCACTCTATGTGCATGTGCTTTACCCAGGAGACCCAGGAGACACAATCATTCCCTTGAGTAATACGCTATATTGCTTTTGTGAGTAATTGTACTCCTATTCAGTAAAATATCTAAAAACATATTTAAGTCTTACAGAAACCGCTGGAATTAAACAAATTCTTAAGTGCTTTGCTGAATAGAAGCCAAGGTCCTGAACTCCAAACACTGGCTTTAAAACAGGAACAAAGTTGTTGTAACATATCTTTTTCTACCTCAGTGAAACTCTTCTCTAGTCCTACCCTTTCCTTTTTTACCGTAAACTATCAGTCACATCCGATAGACTTGTGCAACTGAAGGGATAACTCGTACTAAGAAACATATTGTAAATATTTGCATTTAAGCTAAATTTTGCTTGCCCATTTTTTGCTTGCAGCTCAAAATCAATAGAAGAGTTCGTGTCAGGAAGCTGTGTTTTGACCCAATTTATTGACGTTTTGTAAGTCTAATAGAATTTGTATTTGGGTTAGTTTTTATATGCAGATGCATGAAATGTGCTATAGAGATAGGTACTATTGTTTTAAAAGAGATTCACTTTTAAAGAGGTATCTATATCAAGCACAGTGCTTTCCAGTATGTTTTTTTATTGTTTTTTTTTAATTTAGATGTGGAATATGTGTAAAAAGCAAACCTTCCTTAGCATAATGAGCTCTACTGCTTTTCTCACTTTTTTAATGACACATCACAAAGAACAGTCCTTCTTGGAAATCCTCAGAAGAACTCAGCCATACTGCCAAGCAAAGTTGAGCTTCAGCATCTATGTGAACCACAAAAAGAACTGTGAGGTCTTTCGCTCAAGTACTTCACCCTGGCAGTACATTTTGCATTACTCTTGTGTTTTAACTCTGCGGAGGGCTTCCTTTTACCTGGGCTCTTTCCTATGTCCATTCAAGCTGGTGGATGTTCTGTCATTTGCTGCTGTCAGATCAGGGTTTGGAGTTGGTTTTTTTTAAATTTAGGGGAAAAAACCTAAAGCCCTGTGGGATTGTGGGGTGTGTGTATGGTAGTTTAATTATATTTAAAATGATCAATGGAGTCTTCAACAGTACATTTTGGTTAATTTTTCTTTTTTCAGGGGCTGTTTGCGTATTAGCAAGTATCAAGTTTACATACACAACTGTTTCTTTTGGAGTTTCTTTATGTGCTATAGCTTTGCTTATCAAGTTGGATTTTTTTATATTGGACAAATATTTTAACTCTTCCTCAAGCCAAAACTCAAAGTTTTCTTGAAAAATGCATTTTCACAGTGTGCACCCTCAAAGTTGGATTTCTCTCTCTCAGAAGTCAAAGAGCTGGTTGACTCTTATAGACCAGGTGCTATCCCTGCTAATTGTGAGTTTTAAAAACATTTCTGGTTTTAAGTGCAGTGTTTAAGCTGATAGCCATTTAGATGGGAAGCAAGCAAGCTTACTTTCACAAGGTAATCTTCATCTACAACAGTTTCTTTTCAGTTCTAGAGAATAGAGACAATTCATGTCTCGGGTCAGTGCATTTTAAACTCTTGTCCCTTGTGACTCTGCCTTTTAAATAAGAATTCTGACTGTGTTTCAGTCTTTCAGCTGTCCCAGTGATATTGCTTATAAACTGGACCTCTGGCCTGCAGCATCTCTGCCTCTCTGCTGTATCACCCTGGTAGGTCCACCGTGGTTTGGTACCTGTCCGCCTTTTCCTCTGGGAGCTGGCGTTACCACCTGCTTGCGAAAGAGCTTCTTCATCTCTTCTTTTTTTTAAAGACTTTTTATTATATGACAAATTATGTCATGTGGATAGATTTTTTGTTTACTCCTGTTTTGTTTTGTTTTTAAAGCCTGTATGCCTCTTTTCATGCCAGCTTTTGTAAACTGACTGCCAGCCTACTTAGTCCTGGTTTTGCCTGGGAGGTATAGACGGCCTTCTGCAGCGTGCTCTCTCTGATCTCTCCAACAGGTTGTTTCCCATTAGCATATTGCAAGCTCTGTGTTCTGCCTTCTTGGAAAGAACAGACCTTGCAAGATGAACCAAAGTGAGTCCAGAGCTTCTTCCCAACCAGAAACTCCTGCATTGTTTCCTCAGAGGCCATTGGCATCAACAGTACTTGCATCATGCAGTCAGTCTCTTTTAATTTAAGAGTATGAAATGCCTAACACCATCTCAGGTGACATAAGACATTTTAAAAAAAGAGGCCTGCTAAGTCAGAGTGTAATGGCACAGGCCTCAGTTCAAGAAAAGCGGGAAAGCAGAGCCTGCCTTAAGTCATTTACACAACGCAGCTCTTCAGCAGGTCCCTCTTCCTTGCTAACTTTAAGTACATGCTTAAGATCCATTAAGTTTTTGTCCTGACTAATTTGGGGTAAAAATGGGGGAAGGTCAGGTGGTGTTTAGGCTTCTATTTTGCTGTGAGGAAGTACCAAGTGGAAAAATAGAAGCAGAAGGCTTTAATCCTGAAGCTTAACCCCTTCTTTCCCACATCCACCCTGTCCTGTGCTTCTGGTTAGATTGTCACTCAAGTGTTTTCAAGGGCAGTAGCTTGCAAGACTGGAACATAACATTGCTGATACTGTCCTTTTCACATTGAGGACCTCTAAGAAGGTGCTGAGACAACTCACTAGCATGTGAGGCTTTTTAAAAGCTGATATTAGCTGTCTTTGACAAAGAGAAAACTTCCTTCATCCAAGATTGTACTTGATGACTTGGGGCTGGTTTTTTTTGAAGGGACCTTTTACTTACCTGTAGTGATACTAAGTATATGATTTCAACTATGAGCTCAGGTTACTGGAGTTATGATATGTGTCACTAACATTGCATGCTAGTTTAAACAGTAAATGCTGAGATAAACTTCTAGAGTAGTAGTAACACACACCTGCTGTATGTAAATACAGCTGGAAACTGAAGACCGCATAGATCTCTACAGGATAAAGGCAGAATCCCAAGCACGTGTAGAGCCAGTTGATTTCAGTAGACTCCCTTTGGGCTGTTCCTCTTTCAGATTAGGTCTTTTGTTTCCAATGCAAATACAGGGGCTGAACTTCATCCTACATATGTTTATGGTTATATTTTATTGGAAACATTTCAAACAATATTGTTAAAATACTGCTGTCCAAGATCTGTTAGCAGTTGTCTATTTTTGGTATGCATCGTTCAGAAGCAGTTTAGAAGCCTTTCATTAGTTTTGTGCATATTTACAACGAGCCCTTCTAACCCTTATTCAAACACTTGCTTGAAAACTGAGAGATGAAGGCTGATAGGAGAATCCAGTCAGAGGCAGGACACCCCTTAAGAGTGAGTGTATGTAATAATGATACTTGGAAACAAGACCTTGAAAGTGCAGTTGCAATAGGGAGGAGAACTAAATAAAAGGAGCTGCATGGTCAATGTTGCAGGTTAGGAGGAGGATCTCTGCAGCAGCATTGCTAGAATGAATGGATGAAAAGAAGTGAAGCAACAAAAAATGTTGCAGAGTGAGGAAGACCCTCAGAGGAACACGATGAAATAGCTATTGGGAATGAAGACACAATGGGGTTTGCAGCTACAAAGCCAAGGAAGGTCAAGAATTCAAGAAACTTTGCAAAAGATACATGAAGGAAGATGGAAGAATGTTTCTGAGCACTGGCCAGGGAGACATCACTAGAAAGTTCATTGAGAGTGGGTTTGTTGGGGTACTGGGATGGAATGCAGATTGCTCGTCATTCCTTTGTCCAGTTTCAGTCTGCGTATTTTCCAGCTGTTGCAACAGTGTAGTTACTGACTTTGGGAAGGAAAGAGAAGTGGGATGGTAGTTAGTGGAGTCAAGATTTATATTTTAAATCAGAATGTCTAAGAATGCTTTTAATGAAGGAGGCTGAAGCAGGAAGGAGGTGTTTGTGGAGAAGGATGAGAAGGGCTGAGAATGGCTGTGACAGAGATCTCTATGTAGGATGCTGTCAGGAAGCCTGTGGAGTAGTTTGAGAGCAGATGAGAAACATCTGTAT